CAGTTTAAAACTTTCTGAGAAATAGCCATTATTTACTATTTTACACCTAGAGTTACTATACATGATTTTTACCCATCTTATAAGAGATTCTCCAAAATTGAAATGCTCCAGGCATTTATATATAAACCCCAGTCGTACTTTATCAAATGCCTTTTCAAAGTCTGCTATGAATAGCAGGCCTGGTTTCCCAGATTTTCCATAGTGTTCTATTGTTTCCAATACTTGTCTTATATTATCTCCAATGTATCTTCCATGTAAAAAACCTGTCTGATTAGAATGAATAATATCAGACAATACCTTTTTAATTCTATGCGCTATACATTTTGCTAGAATTTTTGCATCACAACACTGAAGTGTAAGGGGCCTCCAATTTTTTTAATGGACTGGATCTTTATATTTTCCACTTGTATCCTGTATCAGTAATAATGAGATCAGACCTTCTTCTTGTGTGTCAGATAATCTACCATTTACATAGGAGTATACCTCGACTGGTATGCCATCCAACCCTGGAGTTTTCCCGGACTTAAAATCTTTAATTGCATCCAGAAGTTCCTCCTCTGTAATTTCACCTTCACTTGAGTCTTTCCGTATGGCTGTTAATTTTACATTATCAATAGAAAAAAAATCTCTACAATTAGCTTCATTTAGAGGAGATGGAGGCGACTGAAATGAAAAAACATATGCAAACGATAAGTTAATTAGAGTTACCAGCCTCAGAAATTGCAGCCCAAATAAATGCTTCACAGAGTTCAAGTAACAAACACATCTCAACATCAACTGTTCAGAGGAGACTGTGTGAATTAGGCCTTCATGGTCGAATTGCTGCAAAGAAACCACTACTAAAGGACACCAATAAGAAGAAGAGACTTGCTTGGGCCAAGAAACACGAGCAATGGACATTAGACCGGTGGAAATGTGTTTGGTTCCAACCGCTGTGGCTTTGTGAGACGCGGTGTGGGTGAACGGATGATCTCCGCATGTGTATTTCCCACCGTAAAGCATAGAGGAGGAGGTGTTATGGTGTTGGGGTGCTTTGCTGGTGACACTGTCTGTGATTTATTTAGAATTCAAGGCACACTTAACCATCATGGCTACCACAGCATTCTGCGGTGATACACCACCCGTCCGTCCGTCCGTCTGTCCGTCCAAAATTCAAAACTTCTGCTCTTTTCTATAAACTGCAGGTAACACAATATATGGTCTATACTTGGCATGTAGGTTTCTCACTTATGGGTGGCACAAATTGTGATATGGGGGAATGGGCAGGGTATATGCAAATTAAATACTGTAGCATTTACTATAGTTAAAAAAGTGGTAGTGTTTTTGCGGACTGCAGTGTTTTTGTAATATTTACTACAGTGTTCATTTTCTTCCATATAATAGGGGAGAGTGGGGTAAATTGACCCAAGGGGTGAGTTGAGCCTCCCTTGTTTCTAGGAAACTATACAAACAAATGAATCATTTTAACAAATATTTTCAAAGACATCATCATTTCATGGAGTCTGTGAAGGAAGAATGGAAAAGTGGTAAGCAAGTTAGGTCCAAAACGGACCTTGACGGAGGGATGCTGAATGTAAAAAATTGCTCAACTTACCCAACTCTCCCCTACTGAAGTATTTACTATAGTATTCTACAGTATACTACAACATTATACACTGAGTGTACAGAACATTAAAGACACCTGCTCTTTCCATGACGTAGACTGACCAGGTGCATCCAGGTGAAAGCTATGATCCCTTATTGCTGTCACTGGGCGGCAGGTAGCTTAGTGGGTAAGAGCATTGTGCCAGTAACCGAAAGGTCGCTGGTTCTAATCCCCGAGCCGACTAGGTGAAAAATCTGTCAATGTGCCCTTAAGCAAGGCACTTAACCCTAATTGCTCCTGAAAGTCGCTCTGGATAAGAGCGTCTGCTAAATGACAAAATGTAAACTTAAATCCACTTCAATCAGTGTAGATGAAGGGGAGGAGACAGGGTAGTTAAACAAGCATTTTTGACAATTGAGACATGGATCGTGTATATGTGCCATTCAGAGGGTGAATGGGCAAGACAATGGGGGGGTGGAACACTCAGTGTATAGTACTACACATGATTGAGGAATACTACAGTGTGCAGTATAGTATTCCATAGTAAACTATAGTATTTTTTTCATGTGGGTAAAATTAAGGATTATGTTGGATACCAGAAAACAGGACCTGAAAGAATAAATACACATACTGTACAGTAGATGGCACCTGTTCAGTATAATATTATTACTGTATGCTGCCCTCTATTCTCACCAGAGGGCAGCATAAGCCTAGGGATGTGTTTTTGTGAATGGGTTAGATTGGTCAAGTTGTCACTTCAGTTGTGGGACAGTAGACATGCATATCTTACATTAGTTAAAGTTGTCTGCCTGTAGCCTACCTGTCGAAATTGAAGCAGATATAAGTATTTCAATTAATTACAGTTAATTACAGGCTTTATCTTGGCCAGGTTGCAGTTGTAAATGAGAACATGTTCTCAACTAGCTTACCTGGTTAAATAAAGGAGAAATAAATAGATAAAAATTACATATTGGTATCGTTACCCTGTAAGCAGTTTATGGACAAAGTATGACAGCATGAAGCACGGAAATGCTAATACAGGTACCGTTGACTTGCATTGGATTTCTGCCACAAATGCTAAAAAGGTAGTATTTGAAACAACACCCAGGTAAACAAAACCAAAGCATGTCATACCTTGTCCATAGACTGCTTACAGGGTAAGGGAAACAATATGTCATTTTGTAATTTGGGTGAACTATCCCTTTAATAACTTGGAGATTAACTACAGTTTATAGTGATGATAGATCCCTTTATGTTGTGTCAGAGGCCGTGACGATAGGTTACATAAAATCTGGGTATGCACCATGTAAAAGCTTCTGTCAATGTGCATTAAATAAAAACAAGATGTTGAATCACAAGGATTACGTTCTTAAATTTACTTGCCAAAGTGGATTAAACTGTCAAGAAGGCATTTTACGGTGTTTGAGTTTATTTAAATTAAGTTAAATTAAATAGCCTCCAACACTCTACTCAGCAAATTGGATGTAGTCTATCACAGTGCCATCCGTTTTGTCTCCAAAGCCCCATATAATACCCACCACTGTGACCTGTACGCTCTTGTTGGCTGGTCCTCACTACATATTCGTCGCCAAACCCACTGGCTCCAGGCCATCTATAAATCACTGCTAGGCAAATCCCCGCCTTATCTTAGCTCATTGGTCACCATAGCCACACCCACCCGTAGTCTGCGCTCCAGCGGGTATATCTCACTGGTCATCCCCAAAGCCAACACCTCCTTTGGCCGCAATTCCTTCCAGTTCTCTGCTGCCAATGACTGGAACAAATTGCAAAAATCTCTGAAGCTGGAGACACTTATCTCCCTCACTAACTTTAAGCATCAGTTGTCAGAGCACCTTACCGATCACTGCACCTGTACACAGCCCATCTGAAATTAGCCCGCCCAACTACCTCATCCCTATATTGTTATTTATTTTGCTCATTTGTACCCCAGTATCTCTATTTGCACATCATCTCTTGCACATCTATCATTCCAGTGTTAATACTAATTGTAATTATTTTGCACTATAGCCTATTTTATTGCCTTACCTCCATAACTTGCTAAATTTGCACACACTGTATATATATGTATTTCTGTTGTATATTTTTTTGACTTTGTTTTGTTTTACCCCATATGTAACTCTGTGTTGTTGTTTTTATCGCACTGCTTTGCTTTATCTTGGCCAGGTCGCAGTTGTAAATGAGAACTTGTTCTCAACTGGTTTACCTGGTTAAATAAAGGTGAAAAAAAAAAAAAAAAAAAAAGTTAACTCTTTAAAAACTTTAATACAGTTGATGCTTTAAGTAATCCTATCAGCCCTGTCAGTAATGTCATTGTTTCTCATTCTTCTGATGGATACTCAACTGACAATGTTAATACTGTTGTTGCTTTAAGTAATCCTATCAGCCCTGTCAGTAATGTAATTGTGTCTCATTCTTCTTATTGATACTCAACTGACCCCAAATCTAGAGCCATTTTCTACCCAATTGTTATCATTGTCTGACCATCTATGTAAATAGAACAACACAAGTATTTTATAGAACTCAGATTTATTCAGGATGTTTTGTTGATGACACATGATCAATTACATTCAATAAATCTGGGAGTACCAGTCATCCCTTTTTGATCAGAATGAAAAGAAAAACAGGAACAAACAGTGTTTTGCAAACCTCAGTGGAGAACCCATTGTCCCTAGGAAAGGGAGAATTAAGAGTTAATGCTAGATTGTTTACCCCAGAGCAAAGGGGGTGCCACTTTAGTATAGCTGATTATGTTGATCTTCTGTCATTCGTCACAATAATCAGCAATATGGGGGCAGTGGAGCACACGGGGTAGGGGCATGTTGTACTCTGGAGTTGTCAGCTGTCTCAACATTTAGTGAACAACATGGCACCTCCCTGCCAAGCTCATTTGGAGACTGCCGCTATGTTGTGTGCGATGAGAAACTAGTGTTGCCTTATGAAGATGCACTATCACAGCGCTGCCAACCAATGTTGTGTCACCATGACAGGCACCATCCAGCAAATTAAAGACAGCCAGGCTGACTGAAGAGGGAGCAGACTTAATTATCTGCTTCCGGTTCTTACTATCACTGCCTCTTTTGATGGCTATGTTCTGTATCTGTGAGGGACAGGATGCTCAAGAGGTAGCAGGAATAAAACACTGGAAACATTGGGATAAAAAAGGTCTGTCAGCTGCATTCAAAGTGCATCCTCTGATATCATCCATTATTTCCTACCAGCCAGTAGCTATGGGGCATATGCAGCTAAGTAGGGGTTCATATATGACAGTTCATCCTGGGTTATAGTGTAGATCAGTGGATGCTCTGTGCCTGCATGTGACAGGAGGAGTTTGTAGCTTGTTTTGGTTGTGGAGGGAGAGTGGAAGGTGGGGACAGACTTCTGTGTTTGGAAGCGTTTAGAGGCGTCTGGATGAGGAGGTCATAGAGGAGCGGGACATGGAGACGCCGCCACCGCCGCTGCTCATGCTGAAGCCACCGCCGCCACCGCCGCTGCTCATGCCGAAGCCACCGCCGCTGCTCATGCCGAAGCCACCGCCGCTGCTCATGCCAAAGCCACCGCCGCCACCGCCGCTTTTCATGGACATGCCACTGCCGCCGCCATATCCGAAGCCTCCACCGCCTCCGCCCATGCCGAATCCACCGCCTCCACCTGGGAAGGAAAGATGGAAGGGGCAAAGTCAATACTAGGACTGATAATCAGACCTACAAGTATTATCTTCACTGTTTTCATTTTCTTGTCCAACTGAATTTAAATGTATATGTATGAAGTTCTTACCGCCACCACCACCGCTGCTGCTGGAGGTTATGTGGATGGTTGCAGTTCCACCTCCAGAGGTAATCCTTTGTAAAGATTCATAGATTAGTTGACATAATCACTAAGCATATACTTTAGTGAAAGAGCTGACTGCATCTAGAAGATTTTCAATGTCTTGTGCCTTTATATTTCCTAGCCTTGCTTTTGTCTTGTTTTGTTTCACCATGTCTTTATTTGATCCTGTGCTCACCTGTCCTCCTCTCCTTCCAGCAGTTTCCTGTAGGTGGCGATCTCAATGTCCAGGGCCAGCTTGACGTTCATCAGCTCCTGGTATTCGCGCACCTGCCGGGCCATGTCCTGCTTGGCTCTCTGGAGGGCATCCTCCAGGTCCCTGATGCGGAGCTTGGCGTCCTTCACTGCCATCTCCCCGCGCTCCTCAGCCTCAGCAATCTGGCCTTCCAGAGTAGAACGCTACGAGGTAAAGAAAAGACAAGATCAGAAATAAGACTGAGATTTTCACTTAATTGAATATTAGTGTTGTGCCAGACCTGATGCTATTTTGAATTGACAGTCATTTGCCAGCCTACTGAACATACCTGTCCCTTGACGTTTTCGATCTCGTTTCGGAGACGGCTGATCATGCGGTTCAGCTCGGCAATCTCTGACTTGGTGTTGCGCAGATCTTCACCATGTTGTCCTGCAGAGGACTGCATCTCCTCAAACTGAAGGAAGACAGGATTGGCACAGTCATTAGTCAGTGTAAAGCCTATGTATTATACTTTACTGCACCTCTCATTTATAGGAAATCCATAGAAATATACTGAAGTCTCCTCATACCTTCTGCTTGTACCATGTCTCGGCCTCGGCTCTGCTGCGGTTGGCGATGTCCTCATACTGGGCGCGCACTTCAGCCACAATGGAGTCCATGTCTAGGTTACGGCTGTTGTCCATCTCCACCACCACTGAGGTGTCCTTGATCTGGCCCTGCAGTTCACTCAGCTCCTGGAGAGAGAGAAGGAGAGAGAAGGACATCAGGAAAGCCATAATGTGGATCATTTGTTGTTTATATCACAGAGTTTCAAAGACTAAGCTTATTGTGGTTTGACATGGCCCTCACCGCTTCATAGATGGCCCTGAGGAAGTTGATCTCATCCTGAAGGGCGTCGACCTTGGCCTCCAACCCAACCTTGTTCATGTAGGCACCATCAACATCCTTCTTGAGGAGGACAAACTCGTTCTCCACTGCGGCACGCTTGTTGATTTCATCTTCATATCTGCAAAAACAGATTATATATGGTTACATGGGCCAGCATTTAGGACAGTTAGAGCATCCATACAATGTCTTGTGTAAAACTCACTTGTTCTTGAAGTCCTCCACCAGACCCTGCATGGTTGTCAGCTCTCCTTCCATCTTGACCTTCTCTCCTCCCAGGCCGTCGAGCTGTCTGCGCAGGTTGGCAATGTAGGCCTCGAACATGGCATCAATGTTGGAGCGGGTGGTGGTCTGGTCCTGCAGGAGGCTCCACTTGGTCTCCAGCATCTTGTTCTGCTGTTCCAGGAAGCGTACCTGTGTGCAGAGAGAGAAATGGAATAGTTACAATCAGGTGTCATATTTACTGCTAGAAACAGGTTGGCACACATCTTCCATTACGTTGAGAATTTAAATTGGGTTATGTCATATTATATCATATCTGGTTGTATCATGTGACATTGCCTTGGCAACATCTCCCTGGCAAGGTTTACTTGTTTATTTATTTAGTGGTTCAAGATTAGACTTGCATTCGCTGAGGTAATGAAGACGGACTGCTTGAAGTTTTTATTGGGACTTTCTCAGACAGAGCTGCCTTTCTCCCACACCTCTGTAAAAAAGGACACCGCCCTCCATGGCCTATTGTTGGCAGGCACTGAGCTGAGTCATTCCCTAAGGGCTGGGGCAGTCATGAAGAGATCCATCCACTTTATATCTCGCTCCCAGACGATTCCTTCCATGAGAGGTACATGGACTCACCCCCCACTCCCATACTCACAGCCAGTGCAATTACGGTCGAAGAAAACGACTAAACTGTCAGTTTTGATGCAACAGGCTGCACATTAGGACTTTGACAACCTGTGATAAGGTGATATGCCCCTGTTTATACATTCAGGTAGAGGGTGCAGTCACTATATCATTCTGTGTATTTGTTTTCAGAGCCAGTTCTAACTGGATCCTATATGGTCCGGATTTCCAGAGGCTGCATGATCAGTGGCTGTGAAATATTTAATGAGCCCTACAGTAGCACACAAGAGACACAGCCTTGCAACTATTCAAGTGTGCTATTTGCAACCTGTACCATAAAACAACATCCCAGCCATCAATTGCTATTACAAAGTGTCCTTTTGCAGATACTTTGCAGTATCCCTTTGCAGTATCTCCTTTGCAGTATATCTGCACCCTGTGTATGCTGGCATATGGTAGATGATGATCAATGCAATATATTTTAATTTACTTGGACAGGACCATAGTCATGGCATACTTGATACTTTTAACATTCTCTTAGATTGAAGGGCTTTAAGAGAATAAAGGAGTACTGACCTTGTCGATGAAGGAGGCAAAGCGGTTGTTGAGGCCCTTGATCTGATCTTTTTCATGGGTGCGGACAGTCTGGATGTTGGGGTCGATCTCCAGATTGAGGGGGGCAAGCAGGCTTGAGTTGACTGTGACAGCTGTGATGGGGGCGAAGCCACCTCCGCCGCCGCCACCACCCAGGCCAAAGCCTCCACCGCCGCCACCAAGGCCGAAGCCTCCACCGCCGCCACCCAGGCCAAAGCCTCCACCGCCGCCACCCATGCCGAAGCCTCCTCCACCACCACCGCCGCCACCCATGCCTCCAGCGCTGCTCATATAGCTGAAGCTGGAGCCTCCTCCACTTCCACCACCGCCCATGCCGAAGCCGCCCCCACCACCTCCTCCGGAGCGTCTAACGGATGAGCTGCTCATACGGCTGGAGCCCACAGGGGCTGCTGAAGAGGAGAAGCTTGAGAAGCTCTTCCTCACAATGCTGCCGCCGCCACCACCGCCGGAGCTGAAGCCTCCGCCGGAGCTGAAGCCTCCACTCATGCTGCCACTGCTCCTGTAACTCATGGTTGCAGCTTTTCTGATCCTCTGAGGGGAGTAAAAGAAAAGGAGAGAGAGAGAGACAGAGAGGATTGGTGAAGCAGGTGAGCTTACTAAGAGGAAAGTCAAGCCCCTCTCAGTGACTCCTCTCTGGTGGCAGCTGGCTTATATCTACCTGCTGGCACAGGGCTCCTCCCCAGCATCGGCCTGCCTCCTAGCTGTCTAGGATTGGAGCGATCGAGGTCATCAGACAGGTATCATTGCCAGCCCCCGTAAACTGATCAGGCTCCGGCACACCCAGGTGCAAACACAGAGGAATGTCAGAAGGACCCCAGGGGAGAGGCGGGGAAAGTAAGATTGACAAAACCATTCAGTTAGTGCCGGGGAGAGGGGGGACGAGGTTGCTCAGAGTCATTACTTTCTCATGTGTACTGAAGATTAAATGTTCATCACATAGTTACATCTGGATTTTTTTTAGGAAAACAATGATAACCAAAAGGTCAGCTACTCTTTGCATGATTGAGCACAGACTAATATCTGCATGGCACAGGAGGTTGGTAGCACCTTAATTGGGGAGAACGGGCTCATGGTAATGGCTGGAGCGGAATCGGTGGAATGGTATAAATACATCAAACACATGGTTTCCATGGTGGAGGCTGCTGAGTGGAGGACGGCTCATAATAATGGCTGGAATGGAGCCGTCCTCCCCTCAGCAGACGCCACTGCTGCATGGACGGTATAGTATAGCATAATATACTGGTTGTGCTGGGAATATTGAGTGAGTAACATTTGCTGAAGACTGTCCCACGCCTCCTAATCTCTCATCAGAAGAGGCTATCATCTTTCTCATCTCAACAGAGACAGAGACTAGGAATGTCTGAAAAAAACAAACTCATCTCTGTTCTCTGCTCAATGTTTCACTCATGGACACACAGACTGGACTGGTCATCCTGGAGACTGGACTGGCCATCATTTTGCCTGAATAGTTAGATGTTTCGTTTACATTTATTGGTGTTGGTTAGGGTCTATGACACTTTTATTACATATGTACAGATAGATAAATCCACAATTACAATGTGGGTTGCATTTCTGCAGCACTATCCTGAGGGTTCTTCCTACCTCATAGTGGCGGGACAGAGATACGTTGACACTTCATTCTGATCAACACGTTCTGTAGGTGGCTTTGCAGCGCAGGGGGTAATGCTACTGCCTGCCTCTGTCTCAACCTCTCTCCTGTATGTTTTCTGTCTTGTGGTTGCGGGGAGTTGATCTAGGGCTACTCTTGATCTTGGTTGAGGGAATGACAAAAGGTTGAAAAAGAGCTAAACTGTGGGGGGGCAATGGAGATATGTAGGGGATGCAGAAAAGGCATTGAAGAAGGCTAACTTTATTCTAGGCATAGACAATACAAGAGTCATACATCTATGATTGATTGTAGACCTTGTGTTGCTATAGTTACCCTGTCAAGTCAAAACATGAAGAGCTCAGTGCTGTAGGTACACATACTGTAAGTGATCTCATCCACAGAGAGAACCAGCATAGGGGAATAAAGCATAGAGAAAGATATTTACTCTGGGTTGAGTTGTTGGTGCTCTGAAGGGACGCTGCTTTTGGCACAGTTTACTGCAACTTGACAGTGTTATAATAACAGAAATAACAAGACTATGATTCATTTTTGTCCCGACAAGTAGCATCCTGTATGAGTCTAATTTGTTTATTGGCTCATCTTCTCCTGGTGAAAGGCATAGGAGAGAAGCTGAGGTTAGGAGAGGTGGTAGCATGCCCCAAGCCTTCCAGTCATAATCTATGGCATATGGCACAGTGTTCTGTGTGTAGGCCTGTTACTGTATGGGCTGCCAGGGGGAAGCATACCACTTACCGCTTTGGTGCCAAAAGATGCCAACATCCTGAATAGGTTTTTTGCGATCACACTGTATCCAACATTCAGTGGTTTGTTCTTTCACTGTAAATGCTCCTATACCTTAAAGGCTATTTCAGGGTTACCTTTAAGTTGGTTTAGTGTGCAAAAACAGAAGCGTAAACATGGAACTATTTCATTGACAGTTTAGAAGACAGGACAGCGGTAGTGAAAATGAGAACAAAGTACCTGTTCAGACTTATTCAAATAAGCAGTAAATACTTGTTCAGGCTTGGCACAGGAGGAGACATCCCTCTGTCTGTAGTACACCTAAAATGTCCGCAGGGTGCAGGTGAATTTCACCCAAATGGGTGGGACACACTCACCACGCCATCACACACACACACAGGGCTTCTAAGAACATTTTATTCCCAAACATGGTAATGTCAGAAAAAGGAAACCTGACATCAGAGACATTGTCAATGTCATTTCAATGTAAAGGTCTGCATGGTCTTTACAGTATGGTTGTAAGAAAATGTACCTTATGCAAATACAGTACTGTATATGAATGCTCATACACAAGAGCTAACATTCAATATGATCTGCTGGTTCGGTAATCTAAACCTAGAGAGCAAGAACAGGCTGGGAAACATTGTGAAACTAGGTAGCAGGATCATTGGTACGAACTTACTCACCTGTATCAGACACGAGTCATACGGAAGGTGCAATGCATTTTGAGGGACTCCTAGCATCCCCTGTTTGATGAATTTCTGTTGGTTCTCTCAGAGTGCAGATATAGGCTCCCTAGGTTTAAAACAAATAGGTCTAAACTCTACTTCAGGGATCACCAATTAGATTAAGCCAATTTTTTCTTGAGGGGATGGTCAAGGGGCAGGAACATAATTGCAAAAAAATGTTTACTGCAAATTGACCGCAAGAAGCCCAAACAAATATAACATTTGACTAAAACATAATAATTTCAAACCTTGCTTACATTTGTTGTGTATGATCACATACACTGAGTGTACAAAACATTAGGACCACCTGCTCTTTCCATGACATACTGTAGACAGACCAGGTAAATCCATTTGAAAGCTGTGATCTCTTATTGATGTCACTTGTTAAATCCAGTGTAGAGGAAGGGGAGGAGACAGGTTAAAGAATGATTTTTAAGCCTTGAGACAATTGAGACATGGATTGTGTATGTGTGACATTCACCGGGTGAATGGACAAGGCAAAAGACTGAAGTGCCTTTGAATGGGGTGTGGCAGTACTGTAGGTGCCAGGCACACCGGTTTGAGTGCAACACTGCTGGGTTTTTCACGCTCAACAGTTTCCCGTGTGTATCAAGAATGGTCCACCACCCAAAGGACATCCAGCCAACGTGACACAACCGTGGGAAGCATTGGAGTCAACATGGGCCAGCATAATGTGGAATGCTTTCAAACACCTTGTAGAGTCCATGCCCCAACGAACTGAGGCTGTTCTGAGGGCAAAAGGGGGTGCAACTGAATATTAGGAGTTCCTAATCCTAATGTTTTGTACACTCAGTGTATTTACATTTGTATTTAACTAGGCAAGTCAGTTAAGAACAAATTCCTATTTACAATGACGGCCTACACCGGCCAAACCCGGACGACGCTGGGCCAATTGTGCGCCACCCTATGGGACTCCCAATCACGGCTGGTTGGGATACAGCCTGGAATTGAACCAGGGGGTCTATAGTGAGATGCAGTGCCTTAGACCGCTGCGCCATTCGGGAGCCCAATATCTCTCTATTATGCATGGGAACACCTTGGAATAGATTTCCAAAATTGAAATCACTTGGAGTTGATTTTCTGGTGTTTTCACAGTCTTTTATGTCCAACAATAAAACATTTTATAAAATTTGGTTCAGAAAACTTGGGAGGCCAGATGGGGAATCCTGCTCTGGTTTAGAGGTCTACTTCCTGTGTACGTGTTGTTGTATATATATTGTTTGTTTTTGTGTGTATTTATTGTCATGTGTATTGTTTTTACTGTGTTCTGCCCCCTGGGGATAATAAAGACTCTACGACTCTTGTGTGACTATACTGTTGACTTGAGTTGCATTGCTGAGAAGATGCAGTGCTGTACAAATACTGTACATGCTTCAACATCATGTATTTTGTTTCATGTGGATGAATGTAAATCATCATCAAATATTTTCAAACGTTCATGTATACACTCTCAATGCCTAATGACTATAGTATCTTAATCTCTAGCATTGGCACCATGGTCCCCACGATTAAGATTGATGAGAATCAGCCTGCTACAGGATCTTATCTGATCTTCTCAGATATGACATGTGACATTTCAGCTTGCCTGTTGATACAGGCTGTGTGCGGTTTGCTCTTGTGAATGTTTCAGTGACAGCCCAGCTCAAATCCAATTGATCTCCACTTGGCAGGATATTTGATGAGAGAAGCAAGAGTGGGCTAAATGAGCCTCTGGCAGAAGATGTACTATTGATGTTAAGGGACTGTTTTGTTATACTTTCAATGAATCATTGCATGTCACATCTCCGGCAGTATTTGGGAGTTTTACGTTTAACTCAGCTGAACATTCTAAAGTGAAGGCCTACTGTAGTAACACTGCTGGTATAGCTTATTTTGCTGTGAGTTGGCATGTTTAAAAACACTTCATTAATTATCATCCTCTTTAGCTCAGTTGTAAGAGCATGGAGCTTGTAACGCCAGGATAGTGGGTTTGATTCCTGGGACCTCCCATATGTAAAAAATGTATGCATGCGTTACTAAGTCACTTTGGATAGAAATGTCTGCTAAATGGCAGATATTATTCTATATATTATATTCAAAATACTTCAAGGGTATACTTCAAATACACTGCATTAGGTCTACCTATACCTGCACTTCCATGAACAAGAGTAACCACAGATTAGCTCTACATTGTCTCTGGGTTCAGAACCACAATTACAACTTCATTTCACTTGTAACTGTGGATGGGCGTTAGGAACTGTCTCTTTCCAGTCATTACAGTGACTTATTGCTGAGGTAAAAGTGGCTTATTAATCTCACCACAGAGATGACAAATACGTTTGTTCTTTTATTTAGATAGATCATGCACACAATCCAACACATATGAAGCCGCTCCCCAAAGAAGTGATGAGAACACATTTTTAAAGGTTGGGTTTAATGATCATACTATGGCATGTGCTTACGCCCCGGGAGTTTAGTCCTTAAAAAACATTCTTCTCAGTTTAAACTTCAGGGGTGTGAGAAAGACAATGATGGTGAGAACC